GGGCCTTTGGCTTTCCTGGGCTGGAGCCAAACCCTTCATGTCCCTGCAGGCAACCCCCCGCCCGGGTGTGGAGACAGCGACTGTGAGACTGTAGAGACAGGACAAGGCAACTTGAAAAGATTTATTATGGAGAACAACAAACAACGTGTCGTTACTTACTCCTACAGTAAGGTGGTTCTACCCCTGGGACGCTTCCTGGCTACCTAAGATCTCGGCTGTTTCTAGTCCAGCCCCCACTGGGGTCCGACCCCGCTGCCGGCAGCTGCGGCATTTGGTCCGCAGGTGCAGGTTGGGCAGTGGCGGTGGGCCGGAGCTTGGCCGTGCGGTGGCCCTGGCATGGGAGCGGCAGAAGGTGCTGCCAGTATGACCATCGCAAACCACGGAGCGCAGAACGGAGGCAGGCCAGCCCCGGGGACCTGCCTAGCAGCTAAATGTGTCTGCCCAGATGGAAGTGGGGGGAGTCCCACGGCTGGTGTGAGGGGACTGTTGGGGGCAGGAGGTGTGACACGGTGTGGTGAAGCCGTGGACGGAGCAGGAGCCGCCTCCTGGATGCCGGCGGGGCTGTGGCTGCAGTGCCGTTTTGGTGGGGGTGGAGCGGCACCGCCCGTCCGGGCGGTCGTGTCAGCCCGTGGCTCGGTCGGTGTGGAGCTGGGGCTTGCAGCTGTCTGGGTGTCGTTCTCCTCCACCGCAGCTCCCACCGCCGGCTGAGCATCAGGTCGTCTTCTTCTCAGGTGGTCTTTCTCCATCTTGGGGCCCAGCGGGGATGCAGCCGGGGCTCGCTCTCTTTCACCAGCACTTTGCGTGCACATCCTGAGGAGGTTGGGGTAATCTCTCTGAAAAAAGGGGTTGTAGTAGAAGAGCAGCTACAAAATGCAAAGGAGAGGAGTCAGTTGCCATCATTTCAAGAAGGAGAAAGCCAGAGATGCGATAACTAAGCGTTTGCATCAGCAAAGACGAACACGGGTATTCAAAAGGACTCTCGGGGGCATTTTAAACCTCCAGTTTGGGCTGACTAAAATGTTCGGCTAGGGTTTTGTTGAGTAAGAACCACCCTTGTGTTTTTGGCATGTGGGAGCCGAGAAGGGTAGGATTTTCAAAAGCCTAAAAACCGACGGAGAAACCCAAATGCTGCCAGTTTTCAGGCCCCTCAGCGTGGAATGGGCATGTCAGGAATAACGCTGATGCTGACGTGTATCTTCTTGTCAGCATTCAGCAGGTGCCACAAGAAGATCTAAATTTTTGGTGCAGCCGGATACAGAGCAAGCACAAAAAAAGCATGATACCATGGGACTATGTTTCCGTTTCACAGATTCAAAGTAAGCAGAAATAACCAAATTCTATTTTATCAGCTTTTCTGCTCCTCCGAAATCCTGCGTCGAGAATTCCCGAAAAGGACCCGCGGGACAAAATCAGGCCATTTGCTCCCATCCCCATCTCCTGCCTTGTAAGGGCTTATTTCATCTGCACGTGAACCTCTCCCCCCGGCATGTCCCGAGGGCTCTTTCGTGTGCGGAGGAGCCGACGTACCTTGCCCAGAGCAGAACCTGCTGCTGCGACTGCTTGCAGCTCCTCGATGGAGGCAGATACGAGAGAATCCCCTTCCATCCTGCAGAAGCCGTGGAGGTTAAGTTGGAGAATGAAGCCTCTCATGGACTCGGTTTCAAAGATCTTCAGGGGTCCCCTCCTCCCCAGCACTTCCTTTCTGAAGAGTTTTTCTGCGATCACGATGCAGTTTCCATCATCGCCCCACCAGATTGACTGGAAGCGATGGCTGCCGACGATATTCCAGAGCTTCTGGAGGAACAGGCGGGCTGAAGACGGCTCGGTGTGGGCAGAGATCTCCTCCCAGAAAGGAGAGCGTACGATGGGGGCCCAAGATCCCTCAGGCAAACCTTGAAAGGCGTTTTCTCCTGGGAGAAGTCCGGCGGCAGCATGCCAAGGTGTTCCCGTATCACCTCCGGGATGGTCAGGAGATGTTGAAGCCGCCCACCAACCTGGCTCCTCTGGGTCGGAAGCCCAGGACGGCCCTGGTGAAGGCGGCTCCATTTTAACTACTACTTTTTTCACAGCTTGGCTGAAACTTCCAGGCACGGCCCTTTCCCTGAGCAGCCAGGCTTGGTCCTGCCGGTCCGCAGGATGAAGGGCTCTGGCGCCAGCTGCCTGGGAAGTTCTCCAATGTCACCGTGACGCCTGTGTTGCATCATGGTGACCTCACAGTGCGGCGCCCGTCTCCTGGCAACAGGAAGCGGAAGACAGAAGAAATTGCTAGAAAGCCCTGTTTTCTTTTCACGGGGAGAGCTGTTTTGAGCATTTTGAGTGAATCCAGCTGTGTCTGCATTTGGTATCTCCTGCTAGGACAGTGCTGCGTCCCGCTGCCCCGGGGAGTTGGTCCCCAGGGAGGGATGGGGAAGGCTGCAGCGTTGGGCATCAAAGTGCCCCAGACCTGAAGTTCTTCCCTTGGGCACCTTCCGCCCATGCAGAAATACCCGTACCCTCTTCTATGGAATAGCCCCTACTCAGTGATTTCGGGAGCGGTGCCTCCATCGTGGCTGTCCACGTACCCAGGCGATGCTCTCAGCGTTCGGCAGGCTCTCCGTGG